AAGTAGTTGCCTAAAACTGAGTTTCATCCATGTTCATTACTTCAGCAAAATGTTTTGATCGAGTGGCATACAGAACAGTCTGATGGAAGAGACAGTAGTAAGGAACAATATATGGGTTGTCCTCTTTAACCAGGGCACAGCCTTCCTCTCTTCTCCCATCATGGCAGGAGCATCATCTGTGGTGACAGAGACATCCTGCTTCAGATCTATACCCCTCTTTCTCAGCATCCCTTTTATTGCTGCATATACATGGACATATATAGGGAGAGCAAAGCTGGGAGAGGAGCATAAGGAGCAGAAGGAAAGAGAGAGGAGAGGAGGGTGAGGAGCAGGAGGAGGCAGGTGTGTGTATCTATGAGTGACTGAAAAGCAAAGGGACAGAAAAAGCACACATAGGGAGAGAGGTTGTTGCGATCACAAGTTTGCTGGGTCACTAATGAGCTAACGACTGCTGGGCTTAAAAGAAGGCCTGGGGACATTGTTCGAATCATACTAAAATACAAGCCCAAGTCTTGGGGTTGAAAAAGATATCATATAAAAGCTTGATAAAAGTGACTGATTTGTGAGAGCTGCAGCCTGTAAAAATTTGTAAGTGATGAAAGAGCTCAAATACTTTAATTTCCCATGACACAGTGTTAAAATACTTGACTTCAAATGAAATAAATTTTACTACAGTACCCACTAAATGAAAAAAAACGTTTTTATAATAGTTAGATAATAGTTTTTAAGTTTTAAAGGGTTGCTAAGTGCCTGCAATGCTGATGTCAAATCTATTATGACTTCTGCCACAATTGAGCAGCCCTAAAGAGACCCCTGTTAACATGATCCAATCCAATCCAATCCACTTTATTTATATAGCACATTTTAAAAAAACATTCAAGTTTACCAAATGCTGCACAATAAAATTAAAAGAACCAACACTGCAGAAAACATCAAGATGAAATAAATAAAAGCAGGTAAAAACATTTAAAATGAAATAAAATAAATGAAATAAAAACACAAAAGCATAAAAGAAATACAAGTGATAAACGGACCATAAAAGACATAAAAGGACAGAGATCACACAACTCTCATGCTGAGCTAAAAGCCAAGGAATAAAAATGAGTTTTAAGACGCGATTTAAAAGTGGAAAGAGTGGGGGATGTTTTAATCTCAAGTGGCAGTTCATTCCATAATTTGGGAGCCACAGCTGAAAAAGCTCGGTCACCACAGGTTTTTAAATGAGTTTTGGGAACCACGAGTTGGAGCTGATCAGCAGACCTCAAGGTACGTGGGGGGGTGTAAACGCTTAAGAGGTCAGAGATATAATGTGTTGCTGATCTATTTAAAGATTGAAAAACAAACAATAAAATTTTAAAATGAATGGGAAGCCAATGGAGGGATGCCAGAATTGGAGCGATGTGATCAAGTTTTTGTCTACCTGTTAAAAGACGAGCAGCAGTATTTTGGACTAACTGTAAGTGTGTGAGGGAAGCCTGATTAAAATATAGGGAGACATAGGGAGAACAAGATGGGAACAAGAATAGAGCCTTGGGGTACTCCACAGGGTAGGGGGGCACAAGAATAGACACAGGCTGTGTCTCATTTCAGAAACCGCCTCGGGCTAAGTGCACTTCTGCACTGTCGAACGGTGCATTTGAAGCGTGCATGACGTCATGACAGCACGAACAGTGTCCCATTTGGCACGAGATGCTAAGAAATGCTAAGCGCGCTTAGCATTCTTTCAAGCGTGCATTTATGCACGCTTTCGTGCCGTCGGTATCCCAGAATGCTTTTCGTGCCGCTGTGCATTTCAGGTGAGAGGCTGGACTTGCTTGGAGACACAGTGCGTCTTCAAAGAAAGTACAAGAAATCCAAAAATAGCAGACAGTCAGCTCAGGCTGTATGAGAATTTTTTTTAAAGACTTCGAGATTTAAGTCGTGAATTTACGAGAAAAAAGTCATTAATTTATGAGAATAAAATCATAAAGTTCCCTGTTATTTCAGAGGAGACTTGTTAAAATTAAGGCCATGAAGCATTTGAAGGAACTGTGCTTCAGTATAGGTTTCACAAACAAGAAGATCCTTCATCCTCAAGCACATCAGCATCACATTGTCATAAATATAAAGACTTAAAAAAAGAATATATGAGAAATACGTCTTTTCCACGAGGGAAAAAACTGGTGTACTTGAAGGAAATCGCTGCTTTTGTGGAGGCAGAAATGAATATGCTGAGGATATATCTGTTTATGCAGCCGTAAATATCTGTGAATGACATTGAGCTTTAGTTTATGATATGAATCCACATGCCATAAAAAGGTGTTGGCGTCTCTGCAGGTGTAGGCTACCGCCGGTGTCAGAGACGTGGTGCTCGTCGGAGCTCGACTCCCTCTGGATCACAAATGTTGATCATCATCAGTTTGATTGTTTCTTCAGAAACCACAAAATCTGTCTGAATGACCCGCTGATACATCCACCGATAACCCTGCAGATGACCAGCTTCAGTCATTTCCCCCTCCACAAAAGCAGCTTTATGACTTTCTATACTTTATGACTTTATTCTCCTAAATTTACAACTTTAATCTCTAAATCTTAAAAGAAAAAAAAAAACTCAATGATGTCCTGATCCTCTACTGTAGTTTTGTCAGCTTTCTCATTTCTAATGTTTTTCCATTGTTGTAGCAGAGTGGATCAGTTCGTCTCTAAATCTATAATGTTTGGTTTACAGATTTTAGTGAGTTCAGAGATCATGCTCTCATACAGCCTGAGCTGACTGTCTGCTGTTTTTGGATTTCTTGTATTTTCTTCGAAGACGCGCTGTGTCTCCAAGCGAATCCAGCCTCTCACCTGAAATGCGCAGCTGTGCAGCAGCACGCAAAGAATTCTGGGATACCAACGGCACAAAAGCGTGCATAAATGCACGCTTGAAAAAGAGGTGGGGGCAGTGTGGTTTTGAGACCGAATTTGAAGCGTGCTCAGCATTTTGTGCCAAACGGGACACCGTTCATGCCGCGTGATGACCTCACGCACGCTTCAAATGCGCCGTTCGACGGTTGCGGTATCTGAAATGGGACACAGGAAGGGTACATAACGGCACATAACGGCACAAAACGGCAGTGCACTCAGCTAAGCGCGCTTATACCGATGCGGTCTCTGAAATGAGTCACAGCCACAGTCACCAACTTTCACATTAAAACACCTCCCAGACAAGTAGGACCTGAACCAGTTAAGAGCTGTACCTGTTAAACCAACACAGTGTTCCAGGCGAGCAATGGAAGTTGTGTGATCCACTGTATCAAATGCAGCTGTTAGGTCTAAAAGCAATAAAAGTGCTGAGTCTCCAGAGTCAGTAGTCAGTAAAAGATCATTAAAAACCCTTAAAAGTGCAGACTCAGTGCTGTGAAATGCTTTAATACCCGGTTGAAAAATGTCAAGAATTTCGTGATCACCTAAATAAGACTGGATTTGTAGAGCACTGCTTTTTCAAGGATTTTTGAGATAAAAGGAAGCTTTGATATAGGTCTGAAATTAGACAAAAAAGTGCGATCTAGATTAGGCTTTTTGATCAAGTGTTCCACTACTGCTTCTTTGAAATAGGAAGGAACACAGCCAAAATCAAGACTACTGTTTATAAACAGTTGGACTGCAGGACCAACGGTTACCCAAACCTCTTTAAAGAGGCGAGGGGGGGGGGGGGGTAACACCATTGGGACATCTGGTAGGTTTAAGCTGATTGACAATTTTGTTAAGGGTGTGCAGAGACACTGGCTCAAACTGTTGCAAAACAGCAGGGAAAGTGTAGGCAACAGAAGGGTCATGCAAAGGTGGGGATATGAGGGCTCTGATATTTTGACTTTATCCACAAGAAAGCACAGAAATTTTTCACAGACCTCAGGTTAAGCTTCAAGAAAATTGGACTGGGGAGCATTTAACATAGAATCAACAGTTTTAAAAGGACACATGGATTGTAGAAGTTGACGGAAATTATTTCAGAAAACTATTTAGTCTTTTGTTCTTTAACAACTTTCAACAAGTGTCTCTCATGATTTCATAAGATATATGAAGTTTATCTTTCTTCCACTTGCACTCTACCTGTCTGCACTCACGCTGAGCAGCACAAGTGACGTCATTCAGCCACGGCTAGGATAAGGGTTTGGGGCGCATCATTTTAAGAGGAGTGTCATCATCAAGAATATTAATCTCCTGCTTTCTTAGCACTTGTAATAACTGTTCAGTGTTTGCCTTCAATGCAACAGTGTCTGGCTCTGAGCCACTTTCTGGAGCAGAGGAAACGAGAACCGCTGTGGAAGGGTTGACTATTTGGCACCTGCACGCAGGAGCTCATGGTTTGGTCACCAGACCAGGTGGAATAAATTCAAAATATACAGGCAGAGAAAAAGGCATTGCAGACCTGGAGAGACATAATCGTTAGCAACACGATAAAACTAGGTCGAGCGTGTGCCTGTGCTCTTGTGTGGCACCAGAAGCATGTTGCACAAGGTTAAAAGTGTCAACATTTAAAAAGACTTTAGCCAACAGCTTCAGTGGACAGCAGACATGAACATTGAAATCTCCGACAATCGAGATAGTGCCTTAATTTGGCACTGTACAGGACAGGAAGTCAGAGAATTCATCAATAAAATCCTTATTGTACTTTGGCAGCCAGTAAATTATTGTGCAAAGTACTGGAATGGAGCACCCCAGCTTGAATAGACACAGTTCAAAACTTGTGAAAGAAGGGGGCAACAATGGCTTGCAGTTTAAGCTTTCCTTAAAAACAACTGCTACTCCATCCTCTGCGTCCAGTGGTTCTTGGTGAGTTGAAGTAAGAACAGTCAGGCGGTAATAATTCTGACAGAGCAGCAGACTCACCAACATTTAGCCAGGTCTCTGGCATGAACAGAAAATCCAGGGTTTGCAAGGTAAAATATTACTCCAGGATGAAAGTCTTGTTTGCCAGAGACCTCGTGTTAACCATCTGGTGGAAGCCGGGACATTGGCAGTCCGGGTTGCCAGACCCAATGGCCGAAGATGATGGTTATTTACTCCACCACGTCAGGGTCGAAGAAAGCGAGGGCACAGAGGGTGAATTTCCTCAACCGGGCAGTTACCAAGGGGGGCAGATTGCCAGGAAACCAGGCTGTGACAGACTGCTCCACAAGCCGGTGGAAGGTGACAGGCATGCCGAGTTACTCCTGACACCAGGCTTTAATTTTAACCAGAAAGCCACCACGTTTGCCCCCGTGTCTATGCCATCTCCTCCGGGGAAATGGGGCGTCAGCACAGAGCAGGTGTGTAGACACACCCGAGAGGATGGGTGGAAGCATATTTCTATATCCATTAAGATCAAACTGCGAATCTACCAGCGAATCATCCGAAAGTTTGATACTGAGTTAAGCTTGCCGGTTGTAGCACAGCAGAGAGTGTATGTCATTGGGGACGATTGTTAACAGTAAAGCAAACACAAACACAGCAGAGAGGGTCAGACTGCATGCCACACACACTGGCGCCATCTTGATGAACTCAATCATATACCAGTGTTTTTTGGGTTGCAGCTGTGATGCTGTCCAAACATTTCACTGTATATTTTATTTGTTGTCATAATACTCATGTCCTGTGACTCATAGAAAAATCACATTTTATAGCATTTTCTGCATTTATTTTTACATATAAAGCCAATATAAGCAGCAGAGTCCTCCTTGTCTCTCTGTGCAGATGTGTACAGGCAGTGTGTTATGCTCTGACTGAACGTTTATCTTCCTCCTACCAGTGCAGATAGGACTACTGTCATTGTGAGCTAGAAGTTCAGCTACACTACAGGCCAAAAGTTTGGAAGCAAGGCCATTACAGGCCGAACAGTTGGGAGTAACTTCAAGCTTTTGTTCACAATGCTTTTTTAAAAATCCAGCATGAGTTATATGTATTTTGGGATGTATTTACTCCATGATCAGATGTTGCTTTCATGGAAATGTACCATTTTACTTCATTTACCTTTAGATATACATTGATGTTAACAGACCATTGCTAAATATATGTCAGCAAAAGATAATAAGGGCTTAGTTTTAGGGTTGAAAACATTTGCAAGAGTCACAACTTAAGTGCAAAAGCAAAAAAAAAAAAAAAATCAGTTGGATTATTCACTTCAACTTTTTAGCTTTTGAGGGTCTGCATACAGAAATCCTAATAAATCTCAACTGTGTTCAAACTACCGCAAAAATGGCTAGAAAGAAGCAACTGAGTAAAGAAACAAAAGTACAGATTTGTACATTGAGGAAAGAAGGATACACAGACAGAGAAATTGCAAAACGCCAAAAGGTGTCTAACAAAGGAGTCCACTACACTCTGAAGAGACTAGAGGAACCTGGGAGTTATGATGATAGAAAAAGACCTGGACGAAAGAGAGTTACTACAAAAGCAGATGATAAACATAGCATTGTCACCAGTAAGAGAGATCGGCGAAAGACAGCACCAAAAATAAGGGAGGAAATCAACATGACAAGGTCAAAACCCATATCTCTGACAACTGTGAAATGACGTTTGAGAAAGGCTGGTCTGAAGGGTTGTGTATCTGCAAAAAAAAAAAACACTACTTCGTCACAGAACAAGAAAAAGAGATATGAGTGGAAAAAAGTTCACAAAAATTGGACTTACGATGACTAGAAACAAGTTTGTACTGTTTGGTTTAAAAGGCAGAGTCTATGTCTGCAGACAAACTGGTGAAGGTCTGAAAGCACCATGTGTTACACCCACAATTCAGCATGGAGGTGGTAGTTCTATGGTATGGGGATGTTTTGCAGGTGATGGAGTAGGAGATTTGTTTGAAGTAAAGGGTATCATGAAGAAGGAACAGTACCACTCCATCCTCCAGCACCATGCTGTTCCATCTGGACTCAGACTTGTGGCTCATAAGTTTGTTTTGCAGCAAGACAATGACCCTAAGCACTCTGCCAAGCTCTGTCAGGGTTACCTAGACAAAAAAGAAGAGGAAGGTGTTCTTCAAAATGGATTGGCCCCCTCAGTCTCCAGACCTCTCTCCAATTGAGCTTGTGCGGGATGAATTGGATCTATCGATCAGAAAAACGCGTCCCACGAATCAGCAGTCTCCTTTTAATGAACTTAAGAAGGCTTGGAATGCAATTCCTGGAACATACCTTAAAAAACTTGTGGAATGAATGCCTGGTATATGCCAAGCTGTTGTTAAAGCCAGAGGAGGTTACTTTAAAGAAAGCAAAGTCTAAGCAAGAAAACTCAAATACCTTATAATTATAGTCAAAATGTCTTCTGATGAGTTACTCTTTACACAATAGTCATGTTTATCATGTTGCAAATTATATATATGAAACTATGGTCTTTTTTGTACCAATCTGATCTTGCCTCCAAACTTTTGGCTTGTAGTGTAAGTTTCCTCTCATTTCTTAAAATCAGCAGAGGAATATTACTCTGCAGCATTCTTTGAGAAATCTTAACAGCCTGACAGCATTCAAATCCTTATGATCTACCTCTGTGCTGCTCTGCAGCGGTGTGTCCAGACTTTCCAACTGGGGTGGCTCAGCTGGAGTGCTGACATGGGAGGGGGTGGCCAGGGTACACACACAGATTATTAGCATTTACCCTATACTTTATCAACTGTCATTGCAGTGCTGAACAGATATGAAATTCCTGTGTATAATTTTAGTATGATAATCTGTCATAAGTAAATATGCATTAGCCAATCAAATGAACTTCTAAGTATTTGTTTTTTAAGGTCTAGTAAAAAGGCAAGACAATCCTTTATTACCACCACAGCTTGCTAGATATTAGCTCTCTTATTTCTGCTGGAGATCATGAAAGGATTCTGTCATGATCTGTAGAGGCTCTTTAAAATGAAAGTCATTGGCCAACATACTGTCGGTCCCAAACGATTTTCGCAGCCTGTGCTGCTAAAGCTTTTCTTTTCATTTCCCTTAATTTTTCTGGACCGCCTCTGTGTTTTTTACTCTACTTATCCATTTTTGTTTTTCATGTGCTGGTGTATTGTTGCTTTTTCCCTTCGCTCTCTCTCGTCTCTCATCATTGACTCCTCATCAGTAAAAGTAATTGGACAAGGTGGGATCTAGAACATGCATGGATGGGACTTGTGGGCCTCTGTAGCCTCTCATAGGGCCATTGGGCCAGGTATTCTTTAGACAGACAAGCCACTGGGCCAGTCAGCATCTGAACACTCAGGGTTGAGCATGCATGTCTCTCTCCCAAGCCCAGGAGAGTTTCAGTAGTTACCAAGGCAAGGCAGGCATGGCATAAAATAATAATAATAATAATAATTCATGAAATATCCTTGTTGATTTCTCTCAAAGTCATAAACACAGATTTCTCCTCTGTCATCTTGAAGTAGAATTTGAGTACCAAGTTGACAACAAAACAGTTTTTGTGTTGGTTCATGTTTATTTGTGGGAGCGATTTTATGTGCTGGATGTTTGGGGAATAGCTATTTATGAGCGGATCGTGACGATTTATTCCAGACAGCTGCATGGTTGACAGGCCATCATTAGCAGGGTGATTCCGCAGGTTGTTTCATTCCCCGGTGGCCAAGACAAACTGCGGCAGATCTTAATTGCTGGTATGAATAAAAGTTCATTTTCTGAGGGGTGGTGTCATTATAAACGAAGGATAAAGATTACCAGGAAGATGAATATGTCAAGTACTGTACTCTAACGCTACTGCAATAAAGAGGCTAATAAACCTGAAATGGGCCAGAGGGTTATTCAGGGACAATAGGGAAGATAAATGCTGTTTATCTCCAATTACAGTTCATTCTTATGACTGCTGAGTTATAAAAGCAAAGAGGAGAGTAAGAAAGCACAAAGACGAAGTAGAGAGCAGCAAACAAAGACGAAGATGGTTTCAAACCTCAGAGCTCCTGTGAAAGTCTGTCTTTGGATAAAAACCTTTTCTCCAAGCAGTCTCTACTGCAGTGTTTATGGAAATAGAATATTATTATTAAAAAAAAGTAATAACCTTTGAAAAAATTTGATATTAGTGTTGATTATAATGAGAGTTTTGGGTGTTTTATTTATTTATTTTTTTAAATTGTGCTTGATTTGAGGCACATTCTTGTCTTTGTATGTGATATTCTTTTAGTCAAGATTAAGTCAGAGGACTGTTGTTTTCATCTTAGTTTAATTTTGTGTGTTTATTTTAGTCCAACTTTTGTTGATGTTTTTATCAAAACTCAAAATATTCACACTTTACTGTATTAGGTCATATATCAATTTTATCTTGGTCAAAAAAACAAATAAACCCCTAAAATTCTAATAAAATATTCCGCATTTCTCTCTTTTTTTGTTTCATTTTGAAAAGTCCTTTGTAACCCCGTTATGACGATGTTTCATAAATTAAATTTAATACTCAATTCTTGTCTTTAATCCTCAGAGCATTGATGCACAGAGATTTTTGCCAAAATTTTGAATTTCAGTTATCTCAACATGTACATCATCCTCTTTATTTAGTTCTGAAAAATTAGTAAGTTAACGGAAATTTTGCAACAATCTTTTCATTCACAGAACTATGTTAGGTATTATAAAGTTCATTAATTTTTGAGATCTGAGTATTTCTGCAAGAGATTAAATTACATAGTAAAAAAGAAAAAAGACAATCTGCTGAGATCATCTGTATCCCATTGTACACACATGCATTTTTGATTCTTAAGGCCCCTTTTATTTGTGCATTAACATTTACACATCTTATTAGGGCCACAGGGCAAACACACTGAGGCTCTATTTTTATCCTGGACACATTTCAAAAACCTGTTGGACAAATAATATATCAAAATGTACACACCCCAGCAGTAGCTCTTTCACAATTTCCCAAGGGGAATTTTTTTTTTTCTTAATCTGATTGCACGCTCAAATAAATATTCTTCTCCTGGTTGTCACTCAGCTTGTTTTAGCATTTTTAATTCAGGATTACACAGATGAAACAGTTTTGTTTTTTTTTCCTTTTTTTTTCTCATTCTTTCTGAATTGTCTAATGTTTGTTTGTTTATTTATTTATTATTTTTTTAATTTTCAGTTTTAAATGTCTCAAAATGTTTCTGGTGATAGATTGGAGCTGGCTGTGTTTTAAGTGCCTCTAAAGTTAGCAGCCTCTAGTAGTCAGAATGGTTTGAGAGAGACTTGCTGTGTGCTGAAATGCTGCCCATTATCACTGTGGTCAAGAGACTGTGGAAGAGGAGGTATTAGGAGCACTCTCTGGGGACAGGCACATAGAATTTAGGGGCCTCAGTGTAATATAGCATGGGGATAATGATGAGCCATATATCCCTGATATTCACTCCACTAAATAGCTATTTTGTTCACTGAGGCATTACTCTGCAGTTCCTGTTCCTCATGACAAAAGGATCTGCACGTTTCTGCAATATCTGTTGTGGAAAATCCAGCATAAACTATGCACAGGAGACAGGATGAGATCGCTGACATAATTTCATTTGCATAGAAGAAGTGTCAACTTCTGATAATCCTATTACATTACATTGTTGCAACCTTCGACAAACCCCTTGATTAGTATGTGATTAGTGTAGTCCTTTAACTCTGCAAATGAAACATGTTCAGTTCAATATCTCAGCTCATTGAATATGTTGTTTGTGTTGCTCAAAGTCCATTGCTCATCTTCGTCTCTTTCAAAGTCCAGGAACCGTTCAGGTCCCTCAGTCCCTCCTTGATTAATCACACACTGTGCCAGCTGTTTTGGTGGCATTTCCTGTAGTTCATGGGCCAGTGTTAGGTCCACCATAAGTCCCATCTCCCCCGTCAGCTTCCAACATTGTCTCCAAAGGATGTGTACGATGCGACATGTGAGAAAGGAAATCAGAATTAGAGCTACCGCAGGACTCATGGCTGGGCCAAAACGGCTCCCATTCATCTAAAATTTGGACCACCCAGTCCATCAACAGGCCCCCCTTACCAGCAATCTCCCGCATTTCCACTTTTAGCTTTTCTATACCTTCCATAGCTCTAAAAAAACCTCCCCCAGGGGCTTGTTTTGTTAGAAATGTATCTGCAACAGTACTTTCCAAACCTGTAAGACACATCTTTTCTCTTCAAATACCCAATTTAATGCTTGTCTGTATTGACATGTTACTGGACTTGTTACATGTAAATATCCTTTAATCTAAACATCTTCGCTAAATAATTAACAAATCAAATCAAACAATAATTTCTGTCACATAATTGCTTAACTTTAGGTTTAAAAAAAACAGTTCTTGTCTTATTTGTAAAAATCTGGCAAAAATCTCTTCTCAATTTACCACCTCCAGTTGTTATTTTATTACCACACACGACTTTTCAACATTCATTTTACTCCCTATGTGATAAATTCATCTGGAACCTTTTCTTCAATATATCCTATCTACTCAGTGTGTAGGGCTCTCTTGTTTCTGATTATCTATATAAAAAAAATATTTTTAATTTTATTATCTATTTTCCTTAACCTAATTGTAAATCTGTAATAATCTGTGGATGTTGGCATGGGTTCTAGCTCTGTCTGGAGTGGTGTGGATTGTGTTTTGGGTTGCATCGTACTTACCCGCAATGACAATG